GAGAGAGAGAGAGAGTTCAGGCCGCCGGAGAAAGAATCACAGACAGACATACATCCAGGTGGTGGCCGTCAGTCATATAGTCTGTACTTGTTTTCTCGCCCTCGGCTTGGAAGAGGAAACCACCCTCCCGGACAGATACACCAGAGACCAAAATCCCATCAGACCCTCTTGTCTTGACTGCAGGAACCCCATCCCGTCTCTCAACTACCTCTCCAACCCGCCCTTGCCATAATCGATTCTCCAAGCCTGGAACCGATTGAGTCAAGATTTCCTTCATCCTTTCGCGACTGCAGAATCACGACCAAAAAGAAACTTCGCTTTGCGGATTTCAGGGTCCTCGCATCTTGTGGATTCCACTTGTCTTGGCTTTGGCCCTGACAGTCGCTCCAACTATCAGCAACCTGGATCTTTAGTCCTCCATTTTTATTCTTCCAGTCCTGTGGCTGTCGGATAAACTTTTTCTGTATTTTCTTTGGCTCTCATCACCCACTTTCCTTCCCTTGAAGATCTTGTCACATCACGCTTGTACCAGCCAGCAGCCAGTCAGCTCAAGACGCAACTTGTGTGCTTGGGCCCAACTCAGCTCCCGGCTCACCAAGTCGGATAGACTTGCACCACCCGTCTGGTCTGCACTTCCCTTCCCAAAACCAAAACCAAGGAGGACCCTTTGAAACTCTGGGAACTCCCGAGACAGTTCACAGACCACCAGCCCTGTCGTACATGTTGTTCCCTCAAGGTGAACATAGAGACCCAAGGGTCTCCTACCCAACAGAAAAATGGACGACCACGACCATTTCACTGATTTGAGTCATACACTCCCTCTGTTGGCGGCCTCAGACTTGCCGGGTGAAGTCTTTCATCGCCCAATGCACCTTTTTCATAATCACGAGTCGTCCTGCACCGACTTTGTCTTTGATGGTCATGAGCCATCCGCATGGAACCTGCCTTTGCAGCTCAACACCCCTGCCGCGCCGACGATAGCTCCGTTGACTCTTGGAGTGCCACATACATCTCATGACGACCACTGCATGGATGCCTGCCCAGGCAGCTACGACTCTGAGGGCTTGCCTCGCGGCGCCTATCCTCCGCCGACGGCTAATCGCCCGTCAGTATGCCCCGGGACGTACCCGACGACCGAGATGCAATCTGTGCAACCCACACAGGACTATCAGCAGCCGCCGGCCTACTACCCGTTGATGATGGGAGCTAGAAACTACAATTATGGCTCCACTGGCATCAGGTCTGTGCCAGAGGCACACAACAACAACGGCCATCAGTTCTCGAACTCACCCATGAATGGTCCTGTTGTCGATACCACAGTACAGTGCAGCAATCTCAATGATTGCGTTTCTCAGGGCTGCGGATCTGGCAGCTGCTCAGAGCTATGCTGTACAGACCCAGGCTGTCAGAACACAGTTTGCCACGGCGAGGATTGCGCCAACCAAGGCGACCAGTGCCATGATAATCAGTGCTTCACAAGCACTGCGCCCACTGAAGACTTGTATTCCTTCAATCACTTCAACCATGACGAATGGAACCTGGACGGGGACCCAGGCCATGGCTTGCTGCACCATGATCCGAATTGCAATCATACGCATACGGAACACGCAGCAGCAATCACCCTGGAACACCTGAAGAATCCGGTGGCAGTCCCCCAGTACTCTCGCGGCTACAGCGTCGCCAGTGCTTTCAACGATGGAGACGTTGATATGACGGCGGCAGACACTCCGGCTCTGACTGCCGACACGGTCAACGCTAGTCCTATGTCTCATCGACCGAGCCTCTCGTTACCGGACGCCGCCCATCAGGCTCCTGGAAAGGACCTCACCTGCCAGTGGCTTGTGGGAGACGTGCACAACAAGCACGTCTGCGGTCAAGTATTCAGCTCTACCGAGGAGTTGCATGCTCACCTTGGTACTGATCATGTTGGAAACATGAACAGCAAGACTAGATATCTCTGCTGCTGGGCTGGATGTTCTCGCAAGGATGATCAGGTATTTGCGTCTCGGAACAAGCTGCGACGGCACATTTCAACGCATACTGCGTGTAAGTCAACACACCCGTTCATCTGGTTATCAATTTTGCTCATCATGTCGTAGTTAAACCTTTCAAGTGCGAAGTGTGTCAAGAAAGCTTTTCTGCACAACAAGCTCTTGACCAGCACGTACGGATACACACAGGAGAGCGACCGTATCAGTGCGATTTTGAAGGCTGCGAAAAGTCTTTCAAACAGAAGAGTGCGCTGAGTAAGTTTGATGCCATATCTCCTTGATGCATTGTAACTACCGATTCTAACAATAATGCCAGCTATGCATAAGCGCACTCATACGGGTGAAAAACCTTTAAGATGCGACGTCTGCGGCAAGAAGTTTGGCGAGTCCTCCAATCTCTCAAAACATCGCAAGCTTCACGATCGTCAATACATTTTCAAATGTTCCACATGTCCTCGAGCGTTTGTTCGACTCGATCAGCTCCGGCGCCACGAGAAGAGACACGAGCGCGACCAAAAAAAGAGTGTTGAGGCCCACCAGCCAATCGATTTCTCGACTCTCGAATACGATCGCAAGGCCGAAGCGCTGCAAGTTGCCGAGAGCGAGTTTGCCGACATGCTGCAGAGTTTGGAGTCCTAGAAGTCATAGCGATGGAGTGAAACGGTCACATCATTTTGCATAGGTGCTTTCATGATACCCAGGGCGGGGGCAAACAATTGTGCAAATTTCGGGCGACGGCAAAGCAATGGAGAACTAGGCGTAATTGGCGTTTATGATTTTACTTTTGCATGATTTGGTGGTTCATGGGTTTTATTCTCAAGGAGGGTCACCCTTGACTTTGCATTGTTTGTTTTGACTGATCTTTTCCCTGTTTCTTGATCAGTCTTGGATTTCGTTCCAAGATGCTGTGTTGGGAATACCAGTAGTAGCTGGTGAGCTTTGGCTGTCGCGTTCTCTGATCTGATCCAGAAGTCTGAAGTCGGTGTCATGGAGTTTGGCAGGACAGGCTAGGGTACACAAAAAGCCCCGAAAGTATGTGTTTTTAAAAAGCAGAGTTATTTCGAGAGTACGGACATCATCACATGTCTTCAGATAGACCTTGTTGCCTTTGTCGTTTTGCTGACCTTTTCTTTTATCTTGTTTCTTATGGGTACATGTCGACCATGATAAGTGTTTATACAGCAGTCTGCGGCATAGCAAATGATAATATTATCGTCATATCGTTTAGTGTTTAATGTGACTTGCACTAATTGTCTTAAGTTGAAGACCAACTCGACTGTGGTACGACCGTGTCATGATTGTCGTTCAGTCTCAACTTTTGACAGGAAGAGAAAGCCACTCGGGAGAAACAAGGTTGTGTTTTTTTTTTTTTTTTTTTGGCCGAACAGCGTCTTGTTGGCTAGCAATTGATTGTTTCCTTGATTTTACTATTATCATCGTTTTCTAGTGAATACTGTCGTTGTGGATGTTTATTTCTTCTTCTTCTTCTTCATCTGTAGGATGAGATTGGTATATGCGCCATAGGTTCTTGGTCAGGAACATCACAAGAGAAAAAGAGCACATGTCGTTTCTCGTTCATTAAAGACATTGGGCAGAGAGCATCGCTTTTTTTCTTTTCTTTCTTTCTTTTACTATTGATTCGTCACACTTGTCTTGGTCTGTTCTAGGAACAATTTGGCTCAAGGAGACACCCTCACGTGTTCCTTTTGATCCTGATGCGCAGCCAACGGGGGAAAGGGCATCGAGGGTTTGAAGAGTTGCTGGTCAAACTTGTGTGTGTGTGTGTCCTGAAATGATGGCCTCTTGAACTTTTTGATATCTCCATGCTCATCTGCCATGTCTTCTTGTCCTGGCATGGTAAAGTGTGTGTAGAGAGTAGATGAAAAGAATACTATCTAATTGCTCATAGGGATTCTGGCATGGTGTTTTCAAGGAATTAGTAATACGATGAAGCATGCAGGAGGCGTTGGTTCCCAGAGGTCATCCTGAGTGGTTCACTGGAAAAGCAAAAAGGGGCAGACAAGTAAACGTTTAGCAATTGGTCACCCCAGACATGCTGCTCGAGCATTTTGATAGACATGGACCTTGGGAGCCCGGTAAGGGCCAGGCTGAAAAGGTGATCACCAAGTCGTGACAAGATACATGCACGTCAAACAAGAGTGAGACTGACATGTGTACGCAGTCACCAAGCATTACATCTCAGAAAGACTAGAATTGACACCCTAGATGCGCGGTGCTTTGGCATTCAACTCGCATAGCGTCCTGAGAATAAACCACCATCTGGTCTTGTTTGTCGTTCCTGGAGCCCCCGAGAATCCGCCAAAAGAAAAGGCTATTTTCCTTCGACGGAGGGTTGAGTCATCAAGTCGTTGCCGAGGGGCCGAAGGAACAACAGATCGTTGTGGTAGTGAATTCGTAACGCAACGTATGCGATTCATTGACAGCTACATTTGGCTGTATAGAATTGACCTCGTAAACACCATGACCATTGTTGATGAACCGAAAAGCCGTGTGATGCCATGCAAAGTCAGAAGATTCCCTTTTTCATCTCTCTTTTTGTTTAAAGGAACCGTTGCCGCCGCGCCTCATCTACATCCAAGCCGTGAAATTCCCTGTCGCCCCAAGTATCAAACACAGAAAAGCCAATTTAGGCCTGCAAGAAAGATTTCAGTCAGCATGTTTACCGACGGGGACCACCAAACAGCGGGATTGGTGGGGGAGAAATGGGTTCACTAGTCTTATCGTACCTTGACGGCGTACTTGCGCTGGGGGAAGTGGACGTTGCGCTTCTTCGTCTTGTCAAGCTTGGCGTTGGCCTCGGCGGGAGACAGACGTCTTCGGATGGCGCGAGTCTGCTTGGCGCGGAGATCCAGAGGCAAGTACTTCTTGTTCTTGTAGAACAGGCGGAGCTGGGAGCGCTGCTTGAGGTTGATGACGGTGAGAACGCGGGCGATCGACTTGCGGATGTCGTGGCTATTTGGCGCAAAAAGTAGAAATGTCAGTATTTGGTCGGCCGAGCAGGAAATTGAACAATGCTCAAGGCACCGCCAAGGGGGTTTCGAAATCGAAGAGAAATTATCTCGCAACATACATTCTGTTCAGCTTGGCACCCGACGAAGTGATCTTCTGGATTCTGAGCTGACCGAGGTCGGTCTTGAGCTCGCCCAGCTGCTTGAGCAGATCCTCCTTGCTCTTGCTCCAGAGAGCGTTGGCCTTGACCTTCGATGTGGACTGCAGGTGGGACATTTGGTTAGCGTCAAGGAACAGCAAAAGTTCGATTTTGACGTGTCAAGATTGAATCATGGTGCGCTCCTCGGCAATTTCGATATCGGGATGACATGGTGTGGGTGTATGCGTGTTGCAAGTCGTTGTCGTCGTTGTGTTCGTGATGCAGAAAAAAACTTGGTGATATTTGACGATAATTTCCTCCTCCGCGGGCGGAGTCCTCTTTTCCATTTGTCTTTCTTTGCTTTGGGAGGGCGGGTGGTCGATCGAGGAGCAATGGGCAATCATGGCAAGCAGCAATGACTTACCATCTTGAGACTTCTTCTTCGGTCGGCTGCGAGTACGATGAAGGGTGTCGGTTCGTAGGATTTGCTGAAGGCGTCGCTTGCAATCAAGATTGACCTCAGGTCTGAAGCGCAGGACAGAGGTCGACAGGCTAAAATTTCCCTGTCAGTAATTTTTGGCCTTAGGGTTGATTTTCGGTTTTGTGTGGGCTGGCGGCACTCTGCGGGTGGGTGGTTCGTTCCAGAGAGCAGGTGCAAGCCTCAAAAGGTCAGTTTTTTACCAGGGGTTTGAGGGCGAGTGGGGACTAAGGTCGGGGGAGCCTGAAAAGACGCTCCGACCACTTTGCGCCACACTTGCCTCCCGTTTCCGGTTAGCGTCTGTCTATGGTAGATGGCGCTAGCGTTGGCGCTTGTGGCTGTAAGTCCGTTCATATGATCAAGAAGTCCATACTTACTCGGGATCGATATTGTACTTTACGCAAACTCCATAGACGTGAAGCCAGGCAATGCTGTCTTGGTCTGGGCAATGCAAAGCTAGAGGCTGCATTGTGACATTGCTGTGGTGTGATGAATGTTGTTGTTGTAAGTGGGGCAGGTTGAAAGAGAGGAAGCTGCTTTGAAAGTAGGGAGCCACCAGAATTGGTTGTCGAGAGCCATGCAGATTTGTGCATCGTGGGAATTCCTATTTACAAAGAGCTGTTCAACTTCGTAGTACCTTGCTGGCCGCTGCTGGAAGCTCTTGCCAGGGGCGGACGACGACAATGTGATGCAGAATCGTCCAGACTGAACAGTATGGGGCCAGTGCAGTTGTCGTCCATGGCCATGCATGCTTATACGTTCAGCCTATCAATCTCCCTCCCCATCTGCAAGCTCTGGACGTAAAGACAATAAATTAACTATAATACAATCCCATAATTCATTCTCCAAGTAACGAGTGACTTGTAAACCCAAGTGTTATTCTTTATACGGAATATGGTCGCATAGATTAACACTATAAAACTATGGCGGAAATTCAAGTGCTTATGCAAATTATGCAGCTAGCTGTAGGCGGATGGAACATGGACAAGACCCTTGTTCTCGGCTGGGCTCCATAGGCGCAACGCTACGTAACCAACTCGCAAGCCGAGCTACCTACCTATCCACGAGAGCATCATATGTTGCCAGAACCGCTCGTCCATCCTTCTAATATCGGGCATCAGTGAAATACAACACATGAAGTACCGCAGGACTGCAACTTTTACAGAAATCTGGGACTCGGGCTGCGCCGTACATCAAACAAGCGCAGAAGGACGAACAAGAGCCAACCTCTACCGCCTCTAGTTCCTTGCTCCTATTACTACGTCCGCTCCGGAGATCGGAAATCCCAACTGCAACGATACTGGAGCGCCAACCACAATCGCACGATACAAAACATAGATCTCGGGAAACTCTATAGAACTTGATACAGAAATGGCAACACCGACGGGAAATCAGGGCTGGGCCCAATTGCGACAACAAGCACGGTCATTGGAATCACAGGTAAGCGGACTCCTTACGGAATCCTGACGACTGTTGGGACACACACCCCAAAGCGGTGGCTAACTGTTGGAAACGCGCAGACCGATACCCTTTTCCACACATACTCGCAGTTTTCCCAAGTATCGAATATACCCTCAAAGCCGACGCCGGAAGAGAGGGAGACCGAGGCCAAACTGGAAGAGCTGCTAGACAAGCGCGAGACCGTCGTGGGCCAGCTGGGCCGGCTGCTGGACTCGGAGTCGGCATTGACGTCGTCGGCGCTCAAGCAGAACAACCTGTCGCTGCTGCGCGAGAAGCTGGCCGAGCACCGCCGCGACCTGCGCCGCATCAAGTCGTCCATTGCCGAGCAGCGCCAGCGCGCCAACCTGCTGGCCAATGTCCGCTCCGACATTGACGCCTACCGCGCCAACAACGCCAACCCCGAGGCCGCCGAGGCCGACTACATGCTCGACGAGCGCCGCCGCGTCGACGAGAGCCACAACATGATTGACGGCGTCCTGTCCCAGGCCTATGCCACCCAGGAGAGCTTTGCCCTCCAGCGCGAGACCTTGTCGAGCATCAACCGCCGCATCACCCTGGCCGCGAGCCAGGTCCCCGGCCTCAACACCATTATTGGCAAGATCTCGGCCCGCAAGCGCCGTGATGGCATCATCATGGGCAGTTTCATCGCCTTTTGCTTCTTAATCTTTTGGTGGTTCCTATGAGCATTGCTGGGTCCGGAGGAGCTATTTATAACGAAATGAAGGAACAAACGACTTTTGACCATGGAGCATGCCGATATGAGAAGAGCTGGTGACCGCCAAGTATGCTCATGCTCGAGGGGTTTATGCTATTTTATGTTTGTTGCTTGGGTCTGTTTGATTTGCATATGGATGGATACTCCACATGGCGTTAAGGGAAATTCAGATAGGTAGTCTTGTTTTGTACGATACGGAGGAATGGTCAATACCAACATCAACAAATCCTCTATATGTTGCCTTTATCTTCTGGGGCTTTGGTGTTGATTAATTTGGAATTTCACAGCTTGAGTGATGTACTTGCTTGTCACGCACCAACTCAACCATTCAAACACATTGTCAAGATCTTGAACATGTCATCTTCTGCAACCATGATGTGGAGGCCACATATTCCAAGCGTTGAAAGTTTTCTTCACTCACAGCTTGTTACACTATATATACATTTCTCCAAAACCCAGAACAAAACGCCATAACCATGATGTCAGAAATCAATGGTACCTGTTGAAGGATATCAAAAAAAAAAAAAAAAAAATCAACCTATTTTTGATTGTAATCTGTTCATGAAAACCCATTTCCTATTCCTGCTAGCACTTCCTCATATCTTAAATCATTGATATTATTTATGCAGGAGCGGTACCCTATAGATGAATTCATCGTTAGCAATCAGTTCTCTTTTCGGCCATGTCGTGAGGCTTTCGTATTCTCTAGAGCGGGCTCCCATGGACTTCTTACCTTCCAGTACTTGCTCGGCACAAACGGCATCTTGGAGACGACGGCATTTCTCTCCCGGCCACGGACCTTGACCTTGACCTCGGTACCACTCTTGTGCAGGCCGTCCTTGATGTAACCCATGGCAATGTTCTTGCCTAGGGTCGGGGACGGGCAGCCGCTAGTCACGACACCAATCTTGTTGCCGTCGGCGTCAACAATCTCGGCGCCCTCGCGAGCCGGTGCGCCCTCGACCACGAGGCCCACGCGCCGTCTCTCGACGCCGCTGCCGCCCTTGCTCTTGGGTGTCAGCTGTGGCACAATGACCTCGGAGCCGTGAAAGGTGCCGGGCGAACGGCGGTCCTTGCCAATGACCCAGCTGAGGCCGGCCTCGACGGGCGTCGTGGTATCGTCCAGGTCGTGGCCGTACAGGCACATGCCGGCCTCGAGGCGGAGACTGTCGCGGGCGCCGAGGCCGGCGAGCTGCAGGCGGTCGGGGCCGGCGCTCGCCAGCAGCGCCTCGGTCACGGCAACCGTGTCGTCGGGGTGGATGGAGATCTCGAAGCCGTCCTCGCCCGTGTAGCCGCCGCGGCTCACGAGGACGGGCTTGCTAAGCTCACCATCGCGGACGCGCAGCATGACGAAGCGCGACTGCCCAAAGTAGAGCTCGCGAAGGCGGGCCTCCTCGGGCACGAGCAGAATCTCCGACAGGAGCTCCTCGGACAGGGGACCCTGAAGGGCAATGAGGCCCCAGCCGTCGAGGACCTCGTGCTCGACCTTTTTGCCGCCGGCCTTTTCCCACTTGCTCAGCTGCTCCCGCAGGTACCCGAGGTCCTTGTCGCGGCAGGCGGCGTTGGTAACGACATAGAAGAGGTCCTCGCCGAGACGGGTGACAATGGTGTCGTCGACGATACCGCCCGTGCCCGGCCACAGCAGCGTCGACAGCGTGCTCTGGTGGAGCGGCAGGGTCTGGAGCGATGCGGGCGTCACCTTTTGCAAGAAATCCGTGGCGCCGGGGCCGGAGAAGCGGTGCTGCACCATGTGGCCAACGTCGAACAACGAGGCGTGCGACCGCGTGAAGTGGTGCGAGGCCGCGACGGAGAGCGAGCTGTACTGCACGGGCATGTGGAAGCCGCCAAAGGGTACCATCTTGGCACCGTGGGCGAGGTGGAGGTCATAGAGCGGCGTCTTGCTCAGGGACTCGCCCGACTCGGGAGCCGACGCATATTGCCTCTTCTGAATCTGTCGTCCGGCGCCAGCATTTATCAGGACGGCGAGTTGTTGCTGTTGTTGCCGTGGCCGTGCGGATAGAGCTGGCGAGCGGCTGCTGTTAATGGCCGGCGGAGCTGTCGTGGAGATGGGTCGGGACGACAGGACGAGACCTGGGGACCGCGGGGCCGAGAGGGCGGATACAGCCTTACGGCCCCTTGGAAGAGCTCTCGCAAGCTTCATTTTGGGTCAATTGAGGAATCTAGAGTATCACGAACAGGTAAAGAAAATTATCTATAGGCGCGTTCGTCTCGGAATCCTCGATTGAAAGACCAAAAAAAACTTAAAACAATAGCCGAGCTCTCCAACTCGGCTTATGATCCGATGTATTTCACCTGTCAATGGTCGGCCGATCAGCCCGATAGCGGGGTGGAGCTCTTTCCAAGTGCCTGATAAAAATGTCACGAGAATGACATAGGCAATGATGGCTGGATTTGGCCGCCCAGTGTGGGAAATTGATAGGGACTTAGTGTATTCAGTACAAATGAACGGATCTGGCTACATGGGTTTAGTTAAATAAAGTGCACAAGACCTAATTGCCTCCCACAGCCTACCGGAAATAGCCGTTAAGCCGGAGGTCCCGGGGTCTGATGCTTTTATCCGTTAAAACGAGAGTTGTACCTATTATTTTAGTTAAAGTCAACTTTTTATATACCTTTTATAACGAGCGATTTAATCGAAATAAAAGGATAAGCCTTATTGCGATAATTTGTAGTGTAATTTATAATTAAATAATAGTAATTATACCTGTGGTTGGGTTATAATTTATTATATTTAGTAAATGCACGAAATGCTTAAAATCTTTGGGTTATATCGCTTTTATAAGCTTATTAGCGGCGTTTTCCGTGGATGTGACTTTTTTAATTAGAATGTTTTTAGTAGAGACTTTTTATTAAATATAATAAAAATACTTTTTGATATGCTTTTTCGTAAGTGTGCTAGTCTGGGCTTTTGCCTACGCTTTTGCGCCTATGTTATTAACTAATAGAGGAATTGCCTTTTAAGGCATTATTTTTAGTTCCTTTAATAGGTTCTTAATAAATACGGCTTTACGAGCGCTTTTATTAATGGCGTAGTATTTAGCTTTTATAATAAATTAAGTAATTACGCTTTGCAGCTTTAAATTTTAGCTTATTAAAAAGCCCGCTATAAACGTTACCTATTTAGACGTGGATTTGGAGGTTGATTTATCGCTTATAAAGTTAGCGTTAACGTAAATATGTAGTCCTAATTCCTTATATTTAGTATAGCGATAAAATTAAGTATATTTTATTTTTTTTATGCGGGTGTTTTAAAGGTATTATAGCACCTTATTTAAGTATTTAATATAATTAAGGGACGGGTTATTTATAAAGCGCGTTTATACCTTATTGGCGTATGCTATATTTGCGCGTAGCTTAATTATAGCATAATTCGTTTTCCCGAGCTTTTTAGAATACTAATTTTTAGATTCCTAATTAACGTAGCCTTTAAATTTATGGGTTATTATTATTAATTCCGGATTAATAGGAGTAATAATACTTTTAATATTTTGGTATCCGAGTTTTTTAAATATTTAATCTAGATATTTGTTTTATAGTAATATAATATTATTATTTTCCTTTTGGATAATGCGTATTTTTAGATATTATTTAGCGGTATTTAAGTATTATAGTTTTAGCTATTTGTTTAGCTATTAAACTAATTTTTCGATAGCTTTAGTATTTATATATATAATTATAAAATCGTTTATATAAAAGGTTAGTACCGTTTTATTAGCTTTATTTTAGTAGATAGCATTATCGGTTTTTAGTCTTATAAAGCCCAGCTTTTTTAGTTCCTTTTTAATTTTTTGTTATTATTCGAAGCTATTTTGTTTTAAGCCGTATAAAGGGCGTAATAGCCTGATTATATTATTAAAAGTATAATTATATTATTATGTAATATTAGGGTGTTAAAATATAAATTTATTTAAATATAGGAATTGGCGTATATAGATTTTTTTATTAAGCCGGCCTAATAAATAGGCTATAATAAAATCGATTTAAAAGATTTTTTAGCTTTTGATTATAGCTATCGCGATTAGAACGCGGATGCTTATTTGTTTGGCTATATTGGCGAAGGTTTTTTTATAGTTAATTCTAAGGGTTTAAATAAAGCTTTAAGTTATAAAGCGTGCCTTTTATTTATTTATATTACCGGTAGAATTATATTTAGTTTTATATACCTATTTGGATTTAATTAGTGGCTTTTGCTTTAATTTAAAGTTATTATAATCGAGGAATTTAAACGTTCTTTTTTTAAATAGTTTAGTAATTTTTTTTGCTATGGCTTATTATTAGTTAGGCTATTTTTGTATATTTTTTGCCTGATTAATTAATAATAAATTAGGGTTATATTTAATAATTAGTATTAGGTATTCGTTTTATATTTGTTTAAATAAATTATTATTAATTAATAGTGGATGGTTATGTAAGCCTTTATTTGGCGTAGTTAATAGCGCGTTTTTAGAGCTCGGATTTTTTTTATCGTCCTGATTACAGTCCCGTAAATTGATTAGAGTATGGTAATTGTTTTTTATAGTTATATTTATATATGCGTAGGTATATTTATTTGAGCTTTAACGTATTATAGCATAGTTATAATTATTATTTGTGTATATTATAGCATATTTAACTATGTTTTGCCGTATGGTTATTTGTATTTAAGGGAAGCCGGCTTTAAATCGCCGCGCCTTTTATCCTTATTTTTTAGCTATATTCGGATTACAAGGCTTTATATAATGAGTTAGCTTTGAAGTCCTGTATCGCAGCCTATTTTAGACGTGTTACGGGAGTGATTTGATTATTTTTAATGGATCGGGCTGATTAGCGCTTTTATTAAGGTCCTTATAAAATATAACGTAGGGAGTTGTAATAAAGCGTGCTATATTTAATATATATATTTCGTATAGGTGTTTTTTAGCGTAATTTATAAGTATGCCTTTTAGCGCCTTTACTTATAGTTTTTTAGCTTGCATTTTGTTTTTTTTTAAAATATATATAAAAATACGCGATTTAAAGATTTTAAGGTGCCTAACTAATAGGCGATTAGGTGTATTTTGTGGCTAAAAGTTATTTTTTTAGCGCTATTAAAGAGTAATTAATTCCTTTTTAGTAGGTGTTATACGGTTTAAAACGATAACCTATGTCCTGTAGATTTTATCTTAGAATACCGTAAAAATATTTATTTAAATATAAATAGCGCGCGTATTATTTTATAATATTTTAATTGCGCGCTTAGCGGTACTGTTTTGGTATTGGTTGTTTAGTGTTAACGTAGTTAATTCGATGCCTTTTTGCTATGCGTAGTTATTAAAGAAGCCGCCGCTAAAGTTATTAGTTTTATTAATATAAATTATTTTAATTCGGCGCTTTTTTTTCCTAAGCTCGTATTATAGCTAAGCGATATGCTTAAGGAAATCGTTTTATAGAATTTTTTTGGATAAAGCATCGATAAAGTGTAATTTTATGGTTTTACGGTATTTAATTAGTGTAAAATAACGATTATTATTTAAATTGACGGGTTTAATTTTTTTAATATTAGCTTATAATAAGGTCGTTATAAAATTTGCGCGAATGCGTATTGGATCTGCTAAATCGATCCGAACGCTTTTGGCTTTATCGCACGTATCGCATATTAATATAGGAATGCTATCTGGATCTAAATTAATGCCTTTAGTGGCTTTAATCGTTTTAATTAGCCGTTTTTTATTTAAATGGCTTAGTTAACGATGCTATAAAGTTATTTATTTAATTAACGGCTTCGTTAATCCGTTTAGTGCTATTAAAGCTTATATATAAAGTGGTTCCTTTTGCCTATATAGCCATAAAAATTACCTTTTTTTAGTTATATTAATAATAGTTAATACTTTGTTATTAGGCGTTTTAATAAAGTTATTATAGATTTTAAATTTAGCTTTATATAGCTTATTACTAAAAATTACTTTTAATAGGAAGTTTTTAACGTAGTAATACTTTTTGAGCGTTAGTTCCCGGCGCTCGCTTTTAAGACCGCGTTATACGGTTAATATTTAGCCGTATTTTGTTGGATATATTATATTATTTTTAATTATAATAGGTAACCGATTGTGTTTATTTAATTTAATAATTAATTTAGCGATAAAATTAGCTTTATCGTTCGTAATATAAATATTAGCGTTTATATTTAATAGCTATTGTTTGCGTAAATCTAGCGCCTAAGTAGCTATTGAGATAGGGAAATTATAGTGGTTCGTTTTATTTTGTGTGTGTGGATCGTATTGTTTAGTAGGTTTATAGCGTTTGTTATTAAGCGTAGCTTGTAATTGTTTAATTGCGCCGGAAGCGATTTGCGTATAATAATTATAAGCTGTCTTTTGTTCCTCCTGATTTTTATTTTAATTAGAGAGTTTTATGATTTTGGCGCTTTTAAATTGGTAGGGGAAATTATTGTTTGTTGTAGTTAATAGTAATTGCTGGGAGCCCCGGAGTGCGCTTGTAGACGCGCTTCCCCGGCCCCGGCCACGACCTGTACCACGCTTATGGTAATTGCCTTTATTTACGCTTAATCGCATAATTGCGTTTAATTGCGTAGGTGATTGCGTTAATTGTGTAGAATTAGAATTTTATTTGTTTGCAGCTTTTTTGTCGCGTTTTTTGGATTTGCAGTTAATTCGCCGATAACCTTTTTTGCCGCAATATTAATATTCGCCGTTGATTTGACCGTTGCTATTGGTGAATAGTGAATTGGCGTTGTTTTTATTATTAGTTGCTATTTTGTTTGCAAATTTAGTTGTGAGGGATTATTGGAGTTGTATAAGTCCTAGTGTAACGCCTTTTGGGAGGATGGCTAATTGATTTTTTTTTTGTTTTGTTTATTTTGAAGCCTTGTTTTTAGTGGCTTTTAGATATAACTGGATTTGATTGTTTAGAGTAAGGCGTTGATTATTAGCGTTATGGCTTTTTTGTATATAGTGATTTTATTCGGTATTGAATTTGGCTGGGTTTTTGCTATTATAGTCGAATTTGTGTAATTTTTTTAATAGTTTTTGCCTCTTTTCGATAGTAATAGAGTTAAATTAACGGCGGAAAGCATTTTTTATTTTTATGCCTGTTAAATAGTGTTTTATAATTATTAATAGCGTTTTATTATTAATTATAGCTAAAATTGTAGTAATAATAAGCTTTTTATTTAAAGGGTAAATAGGGGTTTTTGCGATTTATTTAGCGGTTTGCTTATTAAGTTTAAGTAGTATTATATAGGCGCGATAATTAGAGGTTTTTGCTAAGAATTTTGATTTATCGATTTTGAATTTAAAGTTTTTTAAGCGAGGAATTAATATAATTAAAGCTTGCTTTAATATGCTATAGCTAGCTATATTAGCGGCTGCTTGCCTTATATTTTTAGCTATGGCTTCCGTAGCACCCGCTGTAGTTGCATGCTTTGCAGCGCTTTAGCCAGCTTTATTAGCGATCGCCTAAGCAGCTATTATAGCGCTTTGATCACTTTTAGTTAAAGTGCCCTGGCTAGCAATATAGGGTTTTGGGTAACCTTTAGTGCTAGGTGCTATATTATAACAAAAGAAGCTATTCGTAATATTTTTTATATTGATTGTGGTGCTATTATGTGGGAAATTGATGGGGACTTAGTGTATTTAATATAAATAAACGGATCTGGCTACGGGTTTAGTTAAATAAAGTGCATAAGACCTAATTGCCTCCTACAGCCCACCGGAAATAGCCGTTAAGCCGGAGGTCCCGGGGTCTGATGCTTTTATCCGTTAAAACGAGAGTTGTACCCATTACTTTAGTCAAAGTCAACTTTCCACACCCAGCGATTGGCCCAGATATGGTTGAGACATGACTCGGCAATCGATAAAAGAATAGTTTGCCCCTCGATATCTATACAACGTGAAAACAACATTTGGGTAATTGAGTTTGTATCGAGTTTGGAGAGGATCCTCTGAAGTAAAGCATCCCTCGATCAGATCTGCATACCCTGCGCCAAGTCTGCTGTTTCCTGCCTCCCGTCAGTGGACGCAAACACACTTGTTGCATCGAGGGAGGGCTCGAGTTGTGCGCACATGTGTGTTGTAATACGTGCAGACAAAATACTCTCTTGGCCCCTCGCAGCACGCAGGCTGTAGAGTACAAGCAACAACAGCAGCAGCAGGGCAAAGCCAGCGTAACGCTTGTGCGCATTAAGGTTGTATCCAGAAAGAAACCACCAGGGGGGAAACGTGGTGCATGAAACGTTGAAAAGCTAAATGTAAACTTCGAAATAAGGGTCGTACGTAGGCAGGCCGGTTGGGTTTCACAAAACTGGAACGGAGGTTGGGGCTCTTAGTACTCGCCTCGAATCAATGTAACGAGGGGCCACTAGGTGACTGGATGTGAAATATCCAATCGTAAGTTCATAGGACCGCCCGGAATATGAAGAATAGAGACACGAGTGGCTTGCAATAATACTTTGTAAGCAGCGTGGGCCTCCTCAGGCATTTCACAATTCTTCCACAGCATCAATATAGGAAGAAAATGACTCTTTTTGCTTTCCATAAATTAAATCGTACAAATCCCATACCTGTACGCCCTCCTCTCCCCAAATCTTCCAAAAACAATCATCATGCAGACCAGGAATTTTGCCGAACGAATGGGTTCACGGTAGAAACCATCACAAGAGAGGACAATGGGGGTACGGAGAAAGATGGATTCGTGATTTATGGACTATAACTGGGCTCCAGATAGAGGGAATGATTGCCAGGTACAATCGACCCACGCAGCCGGAAGGAAAAAACTTGGGACGCCGGTTGAGGATTTCGATTCGTTATCTACCGCCAGGGTTGCTGCTCCTTTATGAGTGTCCGGCCTTGCGGAGGGTGGTGGCGAGCCACTCAAGACCCTCGTAAAGACCATCTCCAGAAGTAGCGCAAGTAGATTGAATGTACTGGAATATGTGTCAGTACAATATGGCTTTGCAACCAAAGGATGAGAATAGCTTACCCAGGCGCGCTGTCTCAAGCTGTGGAGACCAAGCTTGTCGGTAATTTCAGCAGCGTTCATGGCGTTCTGCAGTTCTAGTCAGCACACAAAGAGTCTCGATCAATTGGAATTTTTCGCAACATACGGGCAAATCTTGCTTGTTGGCAAAGACCAGGAGAATGGCATCCCGCAGCTCGTCCTCGTTGAGCATGCGCTGCAACTCCTCACGGGCCTCGACAATACGGTCGCGATCGTTGCTGTCAACGACGAAGATGATACCCTGGGTGTTCTGGAAGTAGTGTCTCCACAGGGGACGAATCTTGTCCTGACCACCGACATCCCACACGGTGAACTGGATGTTCTTGTACTCGACGGTCTCGACGTTGAATCCTGTTGCGCAGCGTTGAAGATTAGCATTTGTTGATGACCTGCCAAGGGATCCAAGAGGCGCGATGGAGGCCGGGTCCGAAAAGGAACATACCAATGGTGGGGATGGTTGTAACGATTTCACCGAGCTTGAGCTTGTAGAGAATGGTGGTCTTTCCGGCGGCGTCCAAACCAACCATCAAAATTCTCATCTCCTTCTTCCCCCACAGCTTGTCGAACAGCTTCGAGATGGACAGACCCATGTTTGCGGTGTTGTATGGAAATACGCGACTATGTGGTGCTGTGTTATTAAAGCTCAAATGTAGAGCAGTCGTCTATTATCTGAAAGGAGATGCAAATGTTAGTGTTGGTTAAGTCGCGCCAAAGAGTGAATCTTTCAAGGTGGCACAAAGGAGTAGTGCTATGAATTTTTTCCTGTCTCGCGATAGTTTTGAGGGGTAGAATGACGGATTGGATGCTTGTGATGTCGTGAATTTATGTGATGGTTTTGTGTCGAATCAGGCAACGGAATTTAGCTCAGGACAGATCAACGTGTATGTTTGGTATGGGCGCTATGATTGTTCGAGATCTTTTTGGGTCGTCATAGAGCGTCTCCAGAATCCAGGCTGCCGCGCAAATGCCAATGAGGGGGTAAGAGGAGAGAGATAGAGAGTCTGTACCTGACTGACTGGGCTGGCCGACCGATTGAACTGGCTGACGGAGATGAAATTTGGCTGACGTTTGTCACCTTTGCAAGAAGAGGATACGGTGTGTAGTTAAAAGGTGGCCGTTGAGGTTGGGAAGTGGGCCAGTGCGGCAAGTTGACAGGAAGGCTGAAGGGGAGACAGAGACGGGGTGCTGCTGTGCTTGGGATTTGAGATGAGGACAGACAAGACCACAAAAGAGTGGCACGCGCGCTTGCTGCTTTGTCTGCCTGGCGGGTGGCATAGGACCGCCATCGTCGCGCGCCAGAGTGGGAGAAGGGGGAACTGGCTTTTGAAGACTTGCTTGCGATGAGGCTTGAGATTTGAAAAGGCAACTTACTACTTTGCGATTGTTGACAATGAGACCTGCTCTTGACGAAGAGAAGAGGTCTACTGCAAAGTGGTTCGTCGTGTGTCTAGTCGAAAGGGGGTGGAATGGATTAAGATGGATGTCGGTGAAAGAGACGAACAAGTCGAGTCTACTACTGCTGCTGGTAGATATGATAGTGGGAAGTGTTAGCCAAGGCGGTGCAGTGCCAGGGCGTGGGCAACGGCCGGCGGAAAAGTTGGTTGACCCGTGCGTGCTTCTTGCTGCTGCTGCTGCCGCTGCCGCCGCTGGTGATTCTGGTGCTAGTGAGTGGCCGGGACTGGGATGTGGGTTTTGGTTGGCTTGGGACTGCTAGCTTTTAGGCCACTCATTCACTCACACTGCTGGAAATCACTGCAGCTGCTAGAGAAATAAAAAATTACAGGCCTCTTTCGACACAGCAGCAACCACTGAACGCTGCCCACTTGCAATCTGGCTCCTGGCTCCTCCAGTGACATGCATTCATTAATCCCGATTGGGGGATCCCTACCTACAACATTGAGATACTACGCCGTGAATTGTGGGCTTGTGAAAGCGGTCGGTGCGCTGACTCGATTCCATTCCCATCATTCTCTCAAGTGGCAAAGGCCCTCTGTGATCAGTGATTGTTATCGCCCACGAAACTTTTTTTTATCTGCCCTGTCCAGGCATGTGCTGGCAGGCCGTTTAGCGAACAGAGAGGCACGCGAGTTGCCATCAAAGGCCCTGCGCCAAGGTTGGACCAAAAAACCCCCTGCTAGAAAACATCTAGAAGCAGAAGCGATGACGATACTTGAAATGTACTTGTGACCCCTTTCTGTTCTGCGTGAGATAGGGGCTAACAAGGGCACTGATAACCCCACGCAATCAAGCTTTCAGGGGGATCTGCTGTTGTTCAAGAGGTATCCCAGAAGTATAGCCCACTTGCCCTGGCCAACTTTGGCGCTAGGCCTTCTGGAGCAGAGGAGCCTCAACTCAACTGGGTAAACGGGCAAAGTGTCAACTCCAGGCATTTTGAACGACGAAAGCTCGCGAAGCGCGCGATCGACTCTGCAGAAACGTCATATCTTCTCTTCTCTCGACCCTCTTTTTTTGTCCCCTTGTCTTCCTTCTCCGTGCGTTGCTTTGCCTGATAAGCCAATTTCTTTCTCAGGTCAAGTGAAGAAGCAAGGAAAGATGCAGCTCTTCTCGTCGGTAGCTCTGCTGCTGTCCGCCGGCTTGTTCCAAGCTGTGCTTGGCCACAACATTCAGCTTCCTGCCCACGGCCGCGAATGTTTCCACGAGCAGCTCCGCCGCGATGACAAGATGACCGTGACCTTCCAGGTCGGCGACCGGGAGTTTGGAAGTGCCGGCAACCTCGACATTGACTTCTGGGTACGTTCTAGCTTGACGTCGTTCAGCTCAGTTGGCGACAGCTTTTAGCTATTGAGCTCGGGAAGTTGGACAAGTAGCTGACGATATTTGTCGAATATCTAGATCTCCACTCCCAATGGCCAGTACGAGACCTTCCAGAAGAGTATCTCCAACGGCGACTACTCTTTTGATGCCAAGCAGGACGGCAAGTACACGTACTGCTTCGGCAACGAGCACTGGGGTGCCAACAGCAAGGAGGTCTCCTTCAACGTCCACGGTATCGTCTACGTCGCCGAGCACGAGGCCGACAAGGATCCTCTCGAGACCGAGGGTGAGCATTGACCTCTTTCTGCGAGGGCAACATCTCTGCCCGAACTGTATTGTTTAGCTAACATTGTGTACAGTCCGCCACCTCTCTGATCTCCTCACATCCGTCAAGGATGAGCAGTCCTACATTGTCCTTCGCGAGCGCACCCACCGAAACACCGCAGAGAGCACCAACAGCCGAGTCAAGTGGTGGAACTTGTTTGTCATTGGCATGGTCATTGGCGAGTCCGTTTTCCAGGTTTGGTGGCTGCGCAGGTTCTTCGAGGTCAAGCGTGTAGTGTAAAAATAAAGATGTCTACGAGCAACGTTTTGGCAGGAAAATTTTGGACTGGCAGGGAAGAGGTGCTTCTGTTCTGAATCTGCTGGCGTCTAGCTGAGAGCTCTGTGTCAGAGAACACAACAAGCTATGGGTTTATTGCACAATCTCGATTGTATATGCATATGATGGAAAATCATGATCTATTTCCAATATGGAGGACGACTTCCGCCGCATACCAGCCAGAGAAAGGCGGTAGTGGAGCGCCAACGCGTGGGAAAGCATTATGACCGCTGTACGATTAGAAATGACACCCAAATTTCATGCTTTTAGCCATTAAGACCATCTACTCTGTCACGGTTATATCTTTTATCCGAGAGAACAGTAGCGAAAAATCCAGTCGATTATGATATCATGAATAGCTTCGTTCTCAATAATGCGTTCTATATTCTAGACGCCCAACGCATGTAGCCAAAAGGTCATATGAACAATAGCAAAACACCGTACGCCTCACCCAGCACCCAAAGCATGACGCCAGCCCAGATATATGGGACATATGCAGAACACACAATGAATACACAAAGCCGCCACCCAGCCCACCACCAACAACATGCATAAAGATTATTACTGCCAAATCAACATGGTTCCAGCCAATGCAATTAGCAATTACTGCGTTCAGGCGGCTGGATCGCTCTCTGGGATCTCGGCCTCTTCGTGTATCTCTTCCACTGGTAGCTCCACGCCCTTAATCGGATGAAGCAACATTGGTGGAAGGCACATGCGGCCCTCACCTCCTCGCATTTGGTTAACGGTCGAGGCATTCTTTGTCTTGTCTTCGACGAGCTCGAATTCTTCACCTCCGTCGTTGTTGACTTTCAGGCCAAGCCAACGGCGGTAGAGATTCGGGGCAAACCCAGAATCATAAAACCATGTGAGACCACGCAGATTATGTTCGCGGTCGCCGTAGACAGAAGTTCGTGAGCCACCCGTGGCGCCGTTCTTGCCATTGTTCAACGTCTGTGCTAGAACAGCCGTCGGCCATTCGCGGTCAACGTAGAGCGGGTGGGGTGCAAAGACAGCCTTGTAACCGTGCTGGAGTGCGACGGTCGCGGGCCACATTTCAGGGAAGGCGAACTGTTTCTTGAAGGCCGTCATCCGATGCATGGTTAGCAAAAGACGACGGGACATGCGAGAAGCCGTAATGATCTGGGCCCTGCGCGGAGGCTTCTCCCGTGTCGTGTTGTAGCCAGTGATGTCGTCCGCAAGGCCCCAGGTCGTGCCCTCTGGATCGAACAAGGGATTGAAGCAGATGTAATCGGCCTCTTCGCCAACTCCCCAGACATCCTTGTCCTTTTGATAAGTGGTCTCAGGCTTCGGGTCGTTCTCATATTCGAACCAGTCGTTCTCCTCGATGGGACGCTCAGGACCCCAAATAATCTTGTCGCCACGGTTGGCAGGGCGTCCCTGCTTGTCCTTGCCGTTTACCCCCTCCCAAACGTTGTCAGCACCTACGGTACCATCCTCTGCTTGGTATCGTGCCTTTTGTTTAAACTCTGACCAATCTCCATGAACCGAAGGCAGGTAGAATCGAGCATTACGTTCCCACAGGCCTTTTCTAGGTTGTTGCTTAGCCCAGTTCTCAACTTTGGTGAAAAAGTCATAGTAGTGACCAGTGTAACGAATATCCATTTCCCATTGCCAGAAATAGTCATATTCGGGGTGTTGGTAGGCAAAATATTGCATAGCCATGGCCAAGCCTCGATAGACACCGTGGACGGGTAGATCTGGGCCTCGAGTGAAGAGATCATAGATACCCTGATAAAGTGAAAGCATTTGTGTTTCTGTCCAGAATGTGACGAGACCTTGGAACTCTTGTGGGATGACATCCCGAATCCGCTGTTCATAAGTGGCGGCATCGGCCCAGATGGGGTGGGCTGCATCATTCCGTACTTGCACCAGGAGATGGACGTCGTACCGACCACCTGAAGCAAGGGACAGTTCGGTAATCAGCGATCGGAGGTTCATGAGATCTTCCTCCCGGAAAAAGTACTCGTCCCAGACGCGAATCACAACAGCGGTTCTCGATAGCTTGGTGGCGACCTCGGTGCTGTCTGTCGAGGATCTCGCTTGATCTTCTGCTGCAGCTGCTTCCGACAACATATCGCGAGTAAGCAGCGTAGCGTTGGCAGACTTGTCGTCGATAAAGAAGCCGTGGGGTGACGGGGTGCGTTCAGGCAAGGCCTTGTATCGCGCAGCATTCGATTGATAGCAACGCCGTTGCGCATCAGCCCAGTCGAGGTTTCTCCAGTCGACGGCCGGAACTTTGGACCACGTTTGTTCGGAGCCCTCCCTTTCGCCATGTTCACCAATTCCAAGACCACCAACTCTCTGAGAATATCCGAGTCCGTAAGGACCATATCTACCATATCTTTCATAACAAATCTCCTCGTTGAAGCCGAGTGCATCATACGAGCCCACGATGGCCTCTGGGAAACCATTGGGGCGTCCCTCGTAGTATCGAATAGGAGGGACGCGAAGCTTGTTGTCCGCGTCAAGGAAACACTCGTTGAGCTTTTCCGGAGCCGTCTGGAAGATGCTCTTTGGGTGATTTATGAACTCCTTGCTCTCGGGAAGGCTGCGTCGGTGAAGACTCGGGTCTTCGGTAAAGTTGACGTAGGCGAGTTTGCTGAGTGGCAACTCATCCTCGGGTCGGGGGTACTCTGGAATGTTTTTCTGGATGGGAACCAGATTTCGAATTCCTCCATAGTATCGTGTGAGGAAGTCATACGACTCCCACAGAGCGGGTTTCGGCGGTGGTTTGTACACGCCACCAAGTTCAATCATTCTGTTTTCATTCTGGCTTGCGCGTACCAAGGTGAACATAAATAACAGTATGCTCGAGACCAGGCCTATGCAAAGGTACCGAATGACCTTGTTTGGTAACCGGGAGCCTATCGGCCTTCCAGGCCTTCTCGAGAGGGAGAAGGGCGTCTTGAGCATAGGCGTTGCGGCCGCGGTGTGTCTGGAATTGGGAGAAGATTCTAAGGAGTAGTCTTCGTAGTCGGACTCGTCGTAGGAATCGTTCGAGTCGCGTTCTTTTCCCAGATTCTCGTAGACCGGCAGCTTTGAGTGCCGCCCATCGCGAGACCGCGGAGGGTTAAGGGAGAGGACTCCCATTCTCATTTAATGTAGTGATCCGCAACCTGGACAAGGTCAGGACGTGTTTGTACAGAGGGTATCGAGTTTTGTGCTATAAAGGCGCCGTACGCTGGAATGCAAGGAGTCAAAACGAAAGACGCAGGTACAGCAGAAGTGCCAAACCCCTTCAATGGCAGCAATAGCAAGGAAAGGGGGAGAAGCGGACGATCAGTAAAGACTGCGATCGCGGGTTTCCCAATGTGTTAAAAAAAGAGCAAATCCAAGTGCCAGGTTTAAGCTTGTTCAGGTGCTGGTGGTCGAGTGTGTAGCGGGCGTTACGTCAATAGCGGGTACACTGATGTTTCGTCGCTTGGGGAGAGAAGCACTGGTGTATCGTATCGCAGAAGCCCGGCGTTCGGCTGGAGAAGCAGAAACACGGCTTTGGAGAAGAGGCCGTGAGCTCTCTGTCTTGTCCTCGCTTTTGTCTGTCTGCGACTGCGCGAAAAACAGACGGTGCAGCAGGAAAGTCGAGATTGAGGACTGCGAAGGGAGAGAAAGAATGAGAGCGCAAAGGTGTTTCCAAAACTGGGCCGCTGCTGGCGAGTCCGATAATGTAACCTGCTGGTAAACTAGCAGCCGGACTTGACGACGAGAGTCTAGCACCTAATTCATGTTGTGGTCCGCCCCCCTCAATCCAGCCTAGCGCGGGCGCCGCTTTTTTTCTCCAGTCTTTTGAGTGGCCAATCCACCCAGTCATCCAGGAACAGACGGTAACCTGAGTAACGGGGAGGATTTAAAGTTGGACAAGAATCAACAACCAGTTTGACAGGATTTCACAGTATAGCCGCATGTTTTTGATTGGTGTTGCAATATGATTGGTTTTAGGATTATTATAGTGCACTTATTCTTTCTGAGTCTTCTTGATCAGAGAGTATCTACACGTCTTACGCAGTGGAATAGTGCATGTAAACGAAGGGCATTTCCATTTTGAACAAATATACTGGACCCAATCCTCATTCTTGAGAGTTTATATCAACAAATTTTATGAGCATTCCAGGAGCTACTTCACCATCCAAGGGTTACCTAAGCCCATTGGACGGGTGCTAGCACTAGGACGTGATATCTCATTCGCCCAGAATCCATCATCTCCTTTGTCGTCCAACGTCAGCCATGCCAATGGATCCTCGCCAGTTCCACACGCCATAACTAGAGAGCAACGAGAGGCACATGGAGTTTGTTGCCATGGACTAGTGTCATGTCATGTTGTCTTTATCGCAGACCTGTAGATCAATCCGTGAGATTCGCAACTATTTGTAACGCATAACGCATAATCGACTATAAAATCGTATTGTAGCCATTGTGGAACCAAATATTGCGGAGGATCAGCTTAATGGTATTTTCCCAGAATTTCTATACTCGTAAGCATATGGATCTAAGCATCGAAGCTTCCTCCTAGCATAGATCAAACAAGCATAAGCCAAAAATCAAAAGGTAATTGCTATCGGGTAAATCTATCAATTTGTCTGTAACGAAATAGGAATTCCAAGGAACATTCCTCCAGACGTTTCTTTAGCAGGAGGGAAAAAAAAGACACAAAAATAAAAATAAAGGTTAAATAAGTGTTGCTCCGAAGGCGAGCTTTCGTATATGCAGTGTTGCCGCCACTGGGCTGAGTGTTATTAGCTTGCGGTCAGCTTGCTCGTATGGTATTTGAAAGATGGAGATGGCGATCTGCGGTGATATGCGGCGGCTTCCACCTTTACTACGAGTTGTAAAACAGACAAGCGAGCAATTCAACATGACTGATTATACATCATTCCGAGTATATAAGATTGATGTGTCGCAATACTACGAGTCAAGTACGACAGCGCTAAAAGCAGCGTCAGCTCAGATGTAGGCACCGTTTATGGCTAAAAAAGGTACATGGCATTGATGGCAACGTCGGCTACAGCATGAATCGACTGCCTCGTTTGGGCGAATCGACGAGTCTTTTTAGATTATTGCCCCTTGATTATCCATGTGGGTGTGGGTGGGTCACCCACAGTGTCCACTGTCCACCGACGACGAACTGACGGCGCCCACTTAGCGGCGGGAATTGCATCTGGATTAGAGTCCAGACTGGCAGAGACCTCGCAGAACTTGGTACGGCCCCCAAATAAAAAAGGAGTTGTCATGAGCAACGGCCCTTTGCTGCCTTGGAAATCCAGGGAATGTGACGACATGACAGCCACATAGTATAATACTTGTTATGGTGAAGCTTCATACTACCGTAGAATCTACTAGCGACCATGGCGTTGTCCATAGTAAAGTGCTCAGCTCTCGGACTCTTCCACTAACCATAAATCATCTAAAATAGGCATTGGCGGCTCGTGCCGCGTCCTTACTTAGCATTACCATCGCCTTTGCCAGGCAAGTTTTGAATCTCTCATACTCCGTACAAATCCGAGAGGGTGTGCTCGTACATTATCAGACTGCGAGCGTGAACAGCTTCTGCTCAGCTTTTGACGCCAGCGTACGCAGCACTGTTCCATTGTTACACGAAAGCTTTCCTGAAGTTAATGCAGCACGCTGGCGCCAGTCGACGGTCAAGGTATCCATCAGCTGGAGGGACCATTCTCCCCTCGACATTAAAGTTTTTCGAGAGCACGTTTCGATTTGCTTGGGTCGATTGTTCGAATCTGTCTGGGTAGCCCCAGATGCAACCATATGAGCTTTGCGGCTGATGTTGATGGGCCCTCAGCAGTCAAAAAAATGTCCAGAGTATAATTATCTTGACTTGCTAGGTTAGCAATGGTATCACCCAAATCAGCTGATTTATACCTGGCAGGCTCGACACAACATCATATATGCCCAAAGAAGCACAGCATTGATCCATCGCTGTGTCATGAACGCTTGGGCACGAGATGTGGTAGTCTGAGCAATATTGAATCAGTGTTTCATCAACCAATAAAAGCCTGCCACTGCGTTCCTCAGCAGCGAAACACCAATCAGTATCAACGTGCCCCGGGTCATGTGGAAGCTTACACCGTCTTTTGCAGCTGTCGTGGCCATTGCTTTGGTGTCTCTCGCACTTTGGACAGAGCACAAAGACCAGCATTAAACGAGCCGGATGTCGAGGTTTTACACATGCCACGATTCCGTAGTGGCTGGCGCTCTCAAACCGACAGCTCACTCAGCACGCGACCAGATGCCAGAATGAAGAGCTCATGACCCATCTCTCGAGGAGTGGCCGGTAGGTAGGTAGGTAGGTAGGTAGGTGAACGAACGGGCTAGAGGTCAGGCACGGCTGCAGAAGAATATTGAACAACAAAGCTCCGGATACGGCAGCGAGTGGGGCAGGCAACGGGAGCTATGGTGCATGCTCGCGCCGGTGATTTCGCTTGTAACTCAATCGAGCAAAGCCCAACCCCAGACAAGCAAGCCTGAGCTGAGCATTCGCTATTCAGCAAACATGGGATCGACGATTGGCCATACTCCAATTGCATCACATTTTGGTAATAAATCCCCAGACCTCTGGTCATATGCCTCTTTCGCCTCCTTTCTCCTCACCGCGGTCTCCGTGTCCAAGGGGTCCAAAGCTATTGTCCGTCGATCTTACATTGGCAATAGGGGAGACAGCACTATTGAATACTCTCTCCATCAACCGACCGACGTCTCTCGACAAAGGACAACAGCTGTGACGAACGCCTCTGCTCGCCTCTTGCTACGCAGACTTCGGCAATGATTTATACACAATGCCTTTGGTGCAATTTTCTTTCTGGCTTTTTCCGAGGACATGACTGACGATACTCGGACAGGCGAGCGAACAAAGGATATTCGATAGGTAAAACTGACACACTGGCAGGGCTGACCGTGAAACCTAACACTAGGTAGCCACGGCGCCAACCAAGTGACCCCCGGGTCAATCGTTCCGCAGCACTTGGGGGAGCTCTGACGTTGCAAGCTCGGATAATCCCACGCATCTTATTCGCGTACCTTCATTATGCTGCAAGCTTTAGTCGAATGCAGGTGGGCACCGGTTATCGGTGATGTACCGCAGCCTATGGGCTTTTCAGAATGTCTATATGTCTGGCCTGGCAAGGTTAGATGCGACTGCTTAGCCGCAGGGTCACGCCACGGGAACACGAACCGACGTCAATTCCACAAGACTAGTCACGTTCCTTTTTGGTTCTGGGAATTCCTCGTCCCCATAAGACGGACGATGTCCCCCCTCATACTTGCGGCTCTAGGAGGGAGGACTTTGGTGTTCAGACATTTCCACGAAGACTCCAATTCAAGGTTTGCTCATTCCAAACTTCCTTCGTCTCGTCTATAGTCGTCTATACTTTCAAATCATCCTCCCTTTAGCAGTTGAACACAGCATCACGTACTCCCCTCCTGTCACATGCACCCCAAACAGCCATGTCCGTTTCCCAGTTGCAGACACAGCCCAGTGCTACGGCTTCCATGGTCCATGGCTATGAGAGTGCTGGCGGAGACACTTTACGAGCGGCTATAAGACAAGACCCCATGTCGATAACCCTCGACGGCCCTGCTATATTTACTCTTGCCACTTCTCTCGTGCTGAGTGTGCATTTCTTTGAGCCCTCGTTCATTACCTTGATTATCACGGTCGTGCCTTTACTACTCTACGTCCAAAATGATTTCAAAAACTACCTCAATCTTGGCCCGGGTAAGCAACTTGATGTATCATTTCTGACCCCTTTGTATTTGATTTTTTTTTTCCAGAGGAAATTTATCTTTAGAAAGAATTTTTCTCCCAAGGAAATATTCTCTTTCCTCTTTCGTTCTTCTTCTTCTTC